GCAACCGGGAGACGTGATTAGAACGGGCGCAGGCCGCCGCACAGATGGACGACGGTTGGTTAATTTTCAATTAACCGAGGGAGCGCCACACCAGGCCACCCTCGCTCGCTGGACGTGGGAGCGGATTATACAACGACGATGACGACGTCGACGATGGCGATCGGCACGTCGGATAGTCGGCCAGGTGACTGCCGACCTACCAGCACGGTTGTGTAATGTACACCCCGTGTACACTACCCTGCCGGCTTCGCGTTCCGGGCTCTCCTCTTTCCGATCGCAACTAGCCAGCCAGCCAGCCAAGCCAACCAGCCAGCCCAGCTCCCTAGAATTGATTGGACACAGCGCGGCGTACTCGATTAAATCGTCGCGCGAATACGGACTCGCGCGCGCGTTTCTGCACGTCTCTCCCTCTTACCGACGATGACCCCTGAGAGAGCGTTCGAATCTCTCCTCAAAGCGTTCGCACGCGCTCGTCTGCACGTGTCGGCGTAATCGCTAATTCATCGAGGGCTCGTGATCGGTGTTGCCTATCATCTTCCGCGTAATACCGCTAACGAAGTAATCGAAGGGGATTGGTTGCTGCGAGGCGCAGCGCGACGTAGAACAGGAACGCTCTGACATACGCGATCCCTTTGTTTCATCCTCTTATCAACACCGTTTCATCGTCGGGCTGCGCCTCGCTTGTCTTTTAGCGAATGATGAATACCTCTTTCGATCGACGAAATCTACCCTCGCTTATTGCCAATCTTTGCCTTCGATTGATCCTCTTAGCAAAGCCATAATTTAAATAGAACTAAAAGGATTGGTCCGACCGAAGAGTGGACATGAAGCTACGCGCTCATCTACGTATATTTTTTCCACGAAACGTGTCACAACTCGTTGTTCGTCCGAACAATGATATTGACCTCTGTGTGGGGAACAATGCAGGAGGTAACGGCGCTTTCCTTCTTGAATTTGTCCCTTTTCCCATTTCGGCGACGGTGATTGCGGCCATTGAACACGCGTCCGATCTCGAAAGCGTTTTCTCGACGGCTCGGTAATCGCTACGTCGTCATCCTTCTGTCTCCCGTTCTACTCTAGCCCGTTTCACTTCTTGTCTGCCGTTGGACCTTTACGCGGGTCCTTATTTTCGCTTCTTTCTCTCTCTCTCTCTCTCTCTCTCTCTCTCTCTCTCTTTCGCACTCTTTCTTTCTCTTTCTTGCACCCCGCCACGGAAACTCTCCTTGGCCAACGTCGTTCAATTTCCCTTTTCTTCTTTCGCGAACACGATGCGAGCCACCATCTCGTTAGTAACGCGATCTTTTTTACGCGCGAGACAAGTAATTTTCCGTTGTCGTCCCTTTCTCTCGTTCGCTCACTTACTCTTCCTCGTGCTTTCTTTCTCTTTTTCTTTTCGTCCATCGCGCCGAAATTGCCGGGGTTCTCACGTTACCGCAATTAATTTTCCGGCGGCTGGAGACGCGACTATCAATCGGTGACGGCGAGGACATCCTTTTCATAGCGCGAACGTCGCCCATCCTTCAGACGAAACTGAATCTTTATTACAGCGAAATACTATCCCTCGGTAAGACGGGAAAACTTGTTTCGCGTCGGTGTTCGCTGGTAAGATCTATGCACGGTGATGTAGTACACCGATGTCTTCAGTTTCACGCCTCCAGTATCCAACGGGCTGAGAGCGTAGGATTCTGTTGTTAAAACAGATTAAGTTTGACGAAACGATAACTTTGTCGAGAGACGCGGAAGTGGAAAACGAAAGTAAACCCGGCTCGCGACGTCCTCTTGCCGAATCGGCTTACGGACTGGATGTCACTCAGGTTGAAAATTAGATGTTGCAAGAATTCGATTCTCTCACGAACTAAAAGAACGAGGAATTTTTATGCCGGCGTCATGTAAACGAGAATCGTTTGGCGAAAGGAGTGAAGAGAGCACGTAAGGGTAAGAGCAATCGCATCGAACCAAACCGGGAAGGATCGTCGGGGAAACTCGTGGGACAAAGGAGGAGAGGAAAGCCACCCTATAAATCATCGTTCGCGCAACCCACCGCTCCGTTGTCGTTTTACGAGGCAACTTGCAACGCGGGGGATCCTTCAGGAATTCGAGTCATGTCTCGCCGATGGAATGCCGCGTCGTGAAGGCAAGCTGGGGTAGGCGGATAAAGGCGATCAACTACGGAAGACGACCTCTTACCGCACCTTATACGTGTAATAACGATTAACATCGATGGTGCACCTGTCGCTCCTGTATATTGTCGCAGTTTACGCTTATTGGCGGTACTTTTAGCTCGCGACATTATCCCCGAGCAGTCAGGTATTTTCGCGTGACCTACTTTCGCGTCAGGATTCGGATCGTAATATACGAAACGCGAATAAGAAGCAGTTGTGTGTATCGCGGACTTTATTAAATACGTGCTAGTGAGTTGCTTGTTAACTTGATCGATAACTCGATTTTACGTGCCGACTCCAGCTATTTACACAGCGCAGAGGGAGAGCTTAATGGAACTCGGAGAAGTCGAAAATCCCAAGTTGAGTGAAAGGGAAGATTTGCGAAAGTCTCGGGATGTAATACTCGAAGCTCCTCTGAATCTTTCCGATGACTTCGCAAAACGACAAAACAAAAGACTGCTGAAAATCTCTTCGAGCTTCTTCGCGAGTATTTTTAACAACGATGGCGTCTCCACAAGGGGATCATTACGCGTGTTGACGTACCTGTTGCATTATTATTATATGCAATCGCTCGCGAGTAGTGGCGAAAGAATACATGGGTGCACGCGGTTTCGCGATGAACATCGAAACAATTCGCGTTTTGCTCGGCAGACGATCTCGATTACCATAGAGCTCCGATGAGAGCGGCTTCCGTCGGCTTTGAGTTTGTCAACAGCCGGCTCGTGGAATACCGACGCACCATCAAAGTGATTAGGTGTTTGTCATTCGTGAGGGCTAGATAGTTCGATTGAATTCCTAACTCCAAAAAGTGGTTTTAATTATCGACTCCGCCGTCGAGTGTGGCGGGATAGCGGAGAAGCAATTAGCTTTTTGCACGCCGGGCCTGACCCCTTTCCCACATCCGCGTTCGCTCAAAGGAGAGAAATTCTTGCGAGAATTAAATGCCAATCAGCCATGACGTTCATTAAGCGGCGCCGTTTGTCCCAGCCTTTTTTCCCGCGTCGTGCGCGAACGAGAGAAGGAGAGGAAGAACGGGAAAAAGAGAGAGAGGCGCTTCGCACTGTGTCGTCTATGTATTCTAATCCGGATCGCGTCGCGTTGTCAGCCTGTTTTTCTCGCTGAAGCTTGACTTCGCAGAATGCGATTTTTCGGCAATATGCGATACACGATAGGCGATAAAAATGACGTTTATGTGGATACAGTCGTTTTAGAAAGGTAATTTTCTCTTGCTCTTTTTCTTTAATTTAAATAAACTAAATATACATTAAGTGGTCGCCATGTTTACTGAACACATCGGCATGATATCTCTCTCTTTCGCTCTCTTTCTTTCTCTCTTTCTCGTGATTTTCACGCGGTTCGCAAACTAACACACCTGAGTATAACTCGCGCAAATATTCCGCGCGGCAATGTAATGCAACAATGCTTTTCCCGAGTTTCTTACAACGGACGGAGCATTCGCGCTATGCGCGGCGCGATAGACACGTTGTAACTTTGATAAATGGTAACGCGAGTACAGCCAGCTAGAGACTCCTCCGCGGTGCTTAGACGCAGCACTTCTTTGCCAGGTGGCTGCCTTTTCACGGTGGTGGCGGCGAGGTAGGCTGGCACTTTCCTTTGCATAAAACATAATTACCCGGAGCGCGCCCGGAGTAATGCCGAGTGCTCTTGAAACACAAAAGGCGACGATCACGCGCTACCTAGGTTAGCGAGCACGAGTCGAGGTGTTCTTTCGCGCGAGCGCAACATCACGTTCAGGATCAAATGTGCGCATCTATTTCCTCCATGAGGTGCGGTGGTTTGTCTCGCTTCGTGAGTGAGACGAGAGTATCCGTGATGTAGGCACGTGTGAATAGTTAGAGACACGCGTTGGAGAACTCCCGACGCTTTCTGCTTTCGAATTTATCTGGACCCTTTGAGAGGCCGGTCGAGTTGGCTGTTTCCACCGGTCCCTTCAAAATTTCTCATGAATTTCCCGCGACTCAAACCACGTCCCGGCTCGGGAAAATACTCTCTTTCCCGTTATCCCGGCCTCTCGTCATCGATCCGATCTTCCTCCTGGAGTCAAAAGTGTAGAAATGGCCGCGCGTGCCCATTCGTATTCACGGTTACGTCCCCGACGGCAGTTCTCATAAGTTTTACCTCCGACTTCTCCGTATTCAATTTGCGTGCCGCACTGTGGCAAGGTGGTCCTTTCTCATTTTTCCCCTATACCTTCGCGAGCAACCGTTCGACGCCACCGTGAGTCGCAACTTGGATAATCGCGTGTTCGTTTTTCCGTGAGCTGCACGTCGCCCTTCATTTATTGCAACGAAGGGGCCGCGGATGAGGAGTCCGAAACGGTTTCCCTGTGTCGATCCTGGCAGCACGCTGGAGAGTCAGGTCACGCGGGTTCGTGGATTCGTTGTATCCCGGAAACGGTTCCAGAAGCATTTTTACTATCGCCGACCGATAATCTGTGAAAAATCACGGATATCCGCAACGCGCATCGACACATCGATCTTCGCTTTCGCGTCCACGTGCGTTAAGGTATACATTACCTGCGCGAGGTACAATAGCACCATCCGGGGCTTTTGTGCGAGAATCCAAGTCCGTCCTTCTCTCCTCCTTTGCGTTCCTTCCTCCTCCGCTACGCTAGTGGGGAAGAAGCGTCGCTTGTAATGGATGTAAAACGTATGCAGCTTGGTCCATTCTTTATCTTATACGTTACCGTACACTCGCGTACACTTACCCACCACACACGTAACTGCAGGGATGCCCCCAAGTAAGCGTGCATTCGTAGCAATATACTTCGCTCGTGGAAATGGAAATGGAATCGTTTCTGCCTTTCGCGTACTGCCTGCCCGGACTCGTATCGTGTTTCGACGGTGTAAATGGGCCGGTAGGCAAATTTATATGGCCACGCTATGTACACAGCACACGGTATACCTTGTGGAGGGACCTTTGGCGTTGATAGTATTGTCACACCGTACTTTCTTGCGACCGCATATTCCGGCTTCCCGTCTGTCCGCCATGCGTAATTTTTACTCGGGTTATTACATTTCCCTGAGCGCATAACGTTGTAGTAACCAACGCGTCGCTTACAAAAAAGACTGTAATCAAGGAACGATATTTCGAGCTTACCTGTCAGGCCGCAGCGTCATTTTAAATCATTCAAAATAGTACGAGTAGATCTTAAATATTCAAGTATTGTGGCGAACAGCGCGTATCATGGTCTGCAATACGTGAAATAAACAAATTAAATATTTAACTGTTCTGTGTGGCGTGTCCTTTTAACGTTTTGAAAGTCGCGCGAAAAAAAGTCACGTGGGCTGTGACGTAATCGTCGGCTATTTTTATTTCGGATGCAGGAACATGACGAATACGGAAGATATAGGCGTTTTTGGTTTGCTGATTATGAATGTGAAGTCAAATGTGTAAAATTATTTGCATAAATAATAAAATGTTTAAACAAAACATGTAAAAAGTTAAAAAAAATTATTTATACAAATAATTTTTCGGTTTGGCTATTTTTGACTGATTTAGCACAGATTTGAAATATTTGGTTGGAATCTCGGCTAAAGAAATTTAGAATAGTTCGTGTCTCAGCTATACCGATTTTGTTAAAATTATTTAACTATATCTTGCATTCAATTTTATTTCTTATGCATTTTTGTTGAACTTGTTGATGATAGGAGTGAGAACATTAAAAAGCTATAAACTACCCGTGAAACTCAAAGTGGGTCAAAATGAAAAAATATGACCTAAATATTTTTTGTACTTTTACATTTGTGCCAAATTAGAAAGAAATCGGAGTGTAACTTTTGAGTAGGTTTATTTGTAAACGCGAAGCAGAACGGTAACAGATAATGTGATGCATTATTTTCGCGATTATTTCGGCTTGATTAAAATCACCGCGAGACAAATAATGACATTTCGGGTGCGCACTGCGTTGCACTGAGATCGTCGTGAGCCATACGATGTCTAAAAATTCAAGAGATAATTACACCTTTCTGTTTCTGTTAGATTTTGGAGAAAGACATATTAGAGATTTAATATTTTCAAAATATAAGAACCGAGCAAGATATCGTTAAATTTAGGATATTATTAATTTTAGTGTTTGTTTTGAAGTTCGTGAAAGTTAAATTTAGAAGATTATATATATATATGTTTTGTGAAGTTTTATGAAATTAAAGACAAAAATAGTCGACATATCGATTTCTAATAATCTCTCTCACACTGAGAGGAACGTAAATAAATTTTATTCTTACATGAAATTGAAATTTGTTGCAATTCTCGGATTGAAATTCTAGTTCGTAATTTTTGATATGTATATGTAATTAAGGTTAATCTGGTAAGACCAGATTTCCCAACCTTGAATTCGGGACAAATCATAAATGTGTGAAGCGGGGGCAGGGGGATAAAAAGATCCGAAAAATATTTGACAATCATTGAAAATGATGACAAATCGGTGTCCCAAATAGCACTTGAAAAAATTCGACACAAAGGTTGAAAAATCGGGATGTCTAGTCACCTTAGCTATATGTGTCGAGAAGGGAGGAGATTATTCCGTAATAATGTATTTATGATATGTTTTGACGACGTCGTTGTTTTCGGGACTGTAATACTTATTTCCACAGGAGACTCACAGACCACGAGCGAAAGACGTGTGGAATACGGAGCGTTGTATCCATAGCAGTTATAAAAAGATCGCAGACGCGCGCGCTGTCAGTCACGTACACCAAAAGTTAATTAGCGCGCCGAAAGTGTCAAAAGTGCATGAATGTAAACGCGCCAGTGATGTGAACGAGGTCGCGCTTGTACAACGACGCGATCTGTACGGCACGCCGCGGCGGATGCCTTAATCATTTGCTCGAGCTACTAACCAATCGCGTTCGTTTCGCACTATGAGGTTGTCATCTTAGTTATTCAATCTAGATATTGGTAATGTGTCACGCGCAATGCTCGATCTTTTCGCGCCAAGCAGCAGCCATGGGCACACACATCGATCCACATCGCTCCGCATTTCTCGCGTCTTTTATTCGTCGAAAGTGAGTCTCGCGCATTATAAGTCTCGGGAGTGTCGAGAATAGCGACGTGCGATCGCCGAGGCGTATCGTGAAGACGTCATTTGTAAGTAATCTTCTCGTATCTCCTCGCGATATATGCGGCCGGTGCTTGTCGCGACGTGTCGCGCCGACGTCTCTTATATTTGCTAATAACATCCACTCGCTCAAGTAGCAATAGAATCGGGCGATCGTCGGATTTATTGAACGAGAATTAGAAGTGCGATGATAATCAGAGAGAGAGAGAGAGAGAGAGAGAGAGAGAGAGAGAGAGAGAGAGAGAGAGAGAGAGAGAG